AAAGCTCATACCTATTAGTGAGAGGGTGGTGGTTGTTGCTGTAGCTGTCATAGTATCTGCTGTTAATTCCAATACTTTCACATACTGGACAATGGTTTTAAGAATAGTGGGGGAGGGTGATTTCAGGGGAGGGGGGGAAGTGGTCAGCTTAAATAGGTCCAGTCTCCTGTTCTCAATCATTAGCTACAGGAGCACCAGGCAGCCAGCACAATTCAAACGTTAATGAAGGCGTCCTTAAAGTCAACAGCATCCCCTGCCTCACCACAAAGCTTCTGAGAAGCAGACAGTCTATTCATTTACCACCATTTCCATCCCTGCACTTTGAGGAAGTGAAGCTGGGGGTAATTAAAGTAAATAGGCCAATCGAATGGCTGCGTTTCTCAAGAGTGCTAGAGAGATGTTACCTGGAGACTGACTCTTCCTGTGTCTAAAGTTTCCAGGCTGAGTCCATATGGGGCCAGGCTCCTCTGTGATTTATCTGTGGACAGTGGGTGGCCACGGGGTACTGTAGGCAAACAGTTATCCAGCCCGATTATTAGGGAAGGGAAAGGCAAACACAAACACACCCAGGTTGACATTCAAAACAAAGTGGATATTTAACCACGGTTGCTCACTATACCGTCCCAGGTCTTGTCTGCCTGTCAGCCAGGAGGCAACCGGGATCCAAATAAGAAGTGGTGCTGCTCATTGATCAGCGCAGCCAATGACGCAGGCACAGCTCTGGAGAGAAATGTCAGGAGTGGCATTTGGGGCTCATCTGTGTTTCAGGGACAGCTGGGTCTCCCTAAGTCTTCTCTGGTCTTGGTGTCCTTGCCTGAGAGACAAGTTTGGACTGGATCCTTGCTGAGTCGTCTTTACGTCCACAAGTTCCAGACCCACTGGTCTTGGAGTCTCCTTCGTTCATCGACATTAACTCATATCTAGGTACACTTGTTGTTGGGTGCCTCCGCAGCCTATCAAGGTGGGGAGCCAAACATGTAGAATCAGCCAGAGGGATTTTTAATCATAGTAATAGCAATAGGAAAAGTAAAAAAATAAAATAAAATGTTCGACTAAAGAGGCAGTGTTTCTGGGGTAGTCAGAGAAGCCACACAGCTCTACTTAAAGGATGGGAGACGTTCAATCCTACCAACCACTCCACATCGTTTCCAGATTATCAGGATGTTAAATTATCCCTGCCATCATTCTCTCCCATTTGGATACAAACAGAAATTGTCCCAAAGGGATTTGATTTAATCTGTTGGTTAATGACAAATAGTGGCTGCAGAATATATATATGCATTTTTTTTTCCAGAAAATTTTTACTCAAAGGATAAATGTTGTGATCAGAGAAACTTTATCACTGAGACGTCAGCCTAAAGGCCTGGAGATCCACTTGTAGAAGCCAGTCAATAAGCATCCCATGGAACACCACCATCTGAGCGGCGCCATCGGGCTTATGAAAGCAGACTGCCTCAGCGGCCTCCAGTGCAGGGGCTGGTGTGCAGGCTTGAACTGCTGATCACCAGCAGACAAGCATTTAACCACCGAGCTACCAGGCCTCCTCTTTTCCCTTTGAGGGTGAAAAATGCCAAGCAAGTATCTAACGATGTCCTTGCTAGCTGACCCCACTCTCATGTCAGACGCCCAGCAGTCCCAGAATCCAGCAGGGAGAAAGCTTGGGAAGGTTAGAAAGATGGAAGGGCCGCACAGTTTCACATCTGCTCTGACTCCCACGGAAATCCACAACGTGTGGCTCTCTTGTACAGTGACAGCCCCATGGGTCTTTGGCATAAAACTCCCTAAAACCCAATTCTATTCTGCCACCGAATTCTGATACAACTAACTTGGGCCACTGTGGTGCTAGTACATTGAAGTACACTGCTTAAGACTTGAAACCCCAAACCAGAGCCCTCGCCATTGAATTGATTTGGGCTCATGGCGACCCCATGTGTTCCACATGAGATTGGAGCACCATGAGTTTTCTTTGCCGGCATTTTAATGGAAGCTGATCACTGGACTTCTCTTCTAGAGAACTCACTGGGTAATTCAAGCCTCCACTGGTGTTACCCAGGGAACTGATCGAACCAGAACACAGGCCTGCGTGCGTCTTGAGTTAGCATATACTGGGCTCCTGCTCTGTAGACTTTATTAGCAATACCAATTCTGCTCCTTCTTCACAATAGAAATGACAGGTTTGGGGGCAAAAAAGCCAAGGAACTCGCATGGGCAATCACTGGCCAGCAAGCTTCGAACAAGGTTTCCAGGGGAACACGAGCCTGCCTTCAACCTTTGTCTGCTTGCAAGATGTCCAAGTTTCACCAGAGATTCAGAGCGATTGTTTTTGTCAGTGGCCAGCAGAGAGTGTGACACAGGCACCCCTGACCCCACTGCCCACAGGAGACCGAATCTGCAGCATTGCTGTGTGAGCAACAGAACCCTCTCCGCTCACCCCACCCCTTAACTCTCTGGTTACTTGCCTGCTCAGAGAGCACGCCCTGCCCAGTGCATTGATCGCCATAGCCCATGTGTGACCTTTTTGCAAGCGTCCTTGAAAACAGCGAAAGGAGACTCTCAGCTGAAATCTGGAATCCATTCCAGTCAGACACAGGAAGAAAATTAGGTACAACAACAAAGCCTCCATGCAGATAACCCTGGGAAGGCTCTGGCTGACATGAACATCGTGGACCTTTTCGGTTTGCCCCTCCTCCACGACCTTGTATTTGATACAAAGCTTCCATGTGAATAGCCCAAAGCTGCTGGAAAGTTCTGGACAGCGAGGACATGGCAGGGACTGGTCGTTCCCGTGAATAAAACGAGTGAAGGAGAAAAGACCAGAGATCCTCCCTGACAGATTAAAATCTACCTACTGGAACGTTTTTTCCAGACTGTGAAATAAATTCTACTATTTCAACTATAAGCGGTCAATCTGACCATGTTTTACTTTAACTTAATGTCCTGGCAGCAATGCATGTAGGGATGGGAGCCGGGGCCGAGGGGAGGGCTGTGTTCCCGGAGGTCCAGCCCCATGCTGGCCCCGGAAACACTCATTCACTTGGAACATGAATCAGCCAAGTAGCATGCTTGCTCGGTACCTTTCATTTGATAAACAGTTTGGAGACGAGGCATTTGTTTTTCCTTTTTCCTAAGCACGGAGTAACTGCTTTTTGTTTGGGGATAAAATTACTCCATCGCAATTGGCCATATCATAGATGTTTTAATTCCAGACATACGCATCCCTTCCTATTTGGGGAAACATTTCCTTTGATGGCAAGAACAGAGCTTAGGGTACCTTGGAGTCAAAGAGTGACATTGAGCCCAATGAAAGTCACGGAGAAGAGGAACCTGGTTCAGAAAAGTGTTCCAGAATCTACTTAAAACGGGCCGGAAGATCCCTCCACAGGGACACGGACCCTGAAACAAACAAGACCAAGTCAAAGGCACCCAGCTGGGGGAGTCGATCCGACACTCTTCCGACACTGGGCACGCAGAGCATTGCTTCACACACACGGGTCACTTAATCTGGTTTGTTTTTCCTAAGTTCCTTTTTTTTTTTTTAAAGGAAAAAAAAAGAAGGTAAATAGCATGACTTTGGTCTCCAAAACATGCCAGTTTGAGCTTTACTCTGCCAGCAAGTATTTGGTTTGGCTCTGAGGGGGACTGGAGTTGAAAAAATATTTGCCGATTCCAAAACGATTTAATGAGCTTGGCTGCAGGGGCCCCTGCCATCTGGCACTCCAGGAGGGCCATGGCCCAGCAAAGAGAACTCTCTGGACCAGAGGGGCCAGCACTGGGAGTTCGGGCGGGCGCTTCCTTAGGTCAAGAAGCCGCAAGAAAAAGGAGCGAAGTTTCCGTGGGAAGAGTGGCCAGCGCAGGCATCCAGAAAACTCCTGCTGCCGTTGAAAACAGTCACTGGACCGGACTCCACTCCCACTCAGGAACTGACGGCGTACTTTCGGACCATCAGTAACAGACGTCCTCATGCTCAGCAGTGGAGATGGGCCCACCGCTGGGGGTCCACAAACCTAAAGGAGCTCCGAGCTGTAACCCCAATGAGCCAGATTCAATGACAGAGTCGAAGTTTTTTCTTCCCGCCGTGTATTCTTGATACCTGATACCAGACTAATTGGGGTGCTCAGAATTTGCACGACCCCATGAAATACAACCAGCACATTTACTTTAGGTCGCAGTGACTGGCAAACATCACTTTCATGAATCTAGAGGAGAATATTGTTGGGATCGAAAACACTGGTTTTCTTGTGACTACATCTCCTATGTTAGCAGCCATGCACGGCTATTACCTGGCATCCAGTCTTTTAGTGAGGGGCTTCAGTTAACCTCTAAGCCAGCGGTTTTCAACCTGTGGGTTGTAACCCCTTTGAGGGTCGAACGACCCTTTCACAGGGGTCACCCGATTCATAATAGTAGCAAAATGACAGTGATGAAGTAGCAACGAAAATAATTTTATGGTTAGGGGGGGTCACCACAACATGAGGAACTATATTAGAGGGTTGCCGCATGAGGAAGGTTGAGAACCACTGATCTAAGCAAAGAAGTCTCTGGTCTTTTCATATCAGTGTTACATCTGGCAATTATTACCAAAAAATGTCATTTATTTCTATAGTAGTAGGTGTTTCAGGATCCTGTTGCAGTGGGTATGGTGAGGGGGAGGGTGGGGGAGGGATCTGGGGAGAGAGGTATTACATTGTCTCTACCTTGAAGGAGCAAATGCACTCATGCTTGGGTGCATCCCACCCCAACCCCTATGGATCTTCCAGAAATTCTAAATGTCACTTTCACGGACACCACATGCTGATCCAACACTTGTTAAATGATTCTCCGACGCCAACGTTCAATAATAGACAATAGCCTCAAAGAGCCAATCTCTCCACTGCCTTTCCGCAGAAGGACCTGTTCAAGGAAACAAAGACTGAACCGTCTATGTTCATCGGAACTCTGGAGACAGAGTCGAAGTCAAGACAGTCAGGATATAATGAAAGGGCAATCATACGAGTACTTACCATTTTGGCTTCTGAATGCATGGGCTGGACTTGGGGAGAGGCGCAGGGGTTATTGAGAGTTGGCCCTTGCATCCCCATGATGTTGGAGTTCACTGACATTTGTCTCTCCATCTAAGACAAAGAAAAGCAACAGAATTAGAAATCTGGCGAAGGCAGTCTATGTCTTATACCTGTATTTCTCTTTCAGAGATCGGTTCAGCATTTCTTTCAGCAACTCCTAAGAGCTGGCGAAGGGTCAGCAATACACTTCAAAATCTTAAATGCCAGCATATATATGAAACATCCAAAGTTGTGCTTCCTCTAGGGCAGTGGTTCTCAACCTTCCTAATGCTGTGACCCCGACCCTTCAATACAGTTCCTCATGTTGTGGTGACCTGTATGTGGACATATCTGCATGGAGAGGGATAGAGGAGCAGTGTTTTGGTTCCTAAAACCAAAGGAAATATAGTCTTAGGACACCCCTGTGAAAGGGTTGTTCAACCCCAAAAGGGATCGCGACCTCCAGGTTGAGAGCCACTGCTCTAGAGGGATGGCCCATACTAGAAGGGATTGTGCTGTCTGAACAACTGGGTGATATGAAGGGGATTTTCAAGAAAATTACAGGCTATCTCCACTTTTGTAGACACATCACAACCACTAACCATGGTCACTTCTACTGTGGTCAACAAGAAAAGATGTGCATAGAAAAAAAAATACTAATATCAAAGGATTATCTCTAGTGGTCTATAGCTTCCTTCTTCCCTCAACTGTATACAGCAAGTATGAACCATTTGGGTAAGAAGGTTACAAAAATTGTCAAAAGTAATTCTGAAAACCAATGGTCTCAAAGATGGTGGGAATCCTGCCTGATCTCAGTAGCTAATAAACAGCATCACAATGACCCAGCACAGAGAATTGAGTTGGCGTCCCTAACTCTTCCCTGGTCACCTCATCAAGAGACTCTTGCAGGTGTTGTTTGAGGGCTCACAGCAGGGAAAGGACCTGGGGGAGGTGACAAGGCCATTGAGGACACACACTGTATGACATACGAAGGTCTCTCCCACCTTGTCCTTCCACTGGCCTGTCACTGGGTTTAGAATTCACATCACCCAAATCCAGTCCTGCCATCTTTATCTCCAGAATGTCCCCTCTACAGAGAAATTCAAGAAACCCTCTATTTCTGTCCAGGATGGGTGTGTCTGATTAATGACAGTTTCTGTTCAGTGGGGAATTAATACTTTTCAAAGAACTCAACTAAAATAAGACTACTTAATACGAGTCTGTCTCGGGAAATGAAAATGCTTCCACGAGGCTGTTGGTCCATTTTTCATCAAATGGTAACACATCAACAAAGGTAAAAAGGTTGAGAGACCCAGGTTTCACTCCCAGCGTAGCCTAAGTGATCTGGGAAAACTGGAGTTGCTGGTCCCTACAGGTATTCCAGAAAGTGGCCGTGAAAATTTCACACAGGGAAGCTCTGGAGGTGCAACCCCCACTCCCACTCCAATCCGGTTCACGTCAACTCACAGAAGCCCGTGTGGGCTTCCCCAGACTCTGACTCTTAAGGAAGCAAACAGTCTCGTCTTTCTCTGGCACAGTAGCTAGTGGGTTTGAACCATTGGCCTTGCCTTCGCAGCTGACTGCCTAACACACAGGCCTGCCAGAGTTCCTTTTCAGAGCAATGGTTGAACGAAAGGCCCTTCTCAGGTCCCTTGCGTTGTTAAGGTTCTATGACTCTTTAATGTCTGCTGTGTCTATACCTCATGGGCGGGGTGATCTGATCATGACATTAATTTGAAGATTAGCAAAAGTGCTGATTAAAATCCCTCTCAGCGAGTCCTGGCTGCACTCCATAACACTGCTGCACCATCAGCCTTACCTTTGCCTTCATTAGCTTATCAGTGGTCTAGCAGTGTATGCTGGGTGAACTATTTCAAGGACAGCTTTGAGGAGAAGTTCCTTTACATTCCAGAACACTTCAGCAAGATGTTTGGGCCTTTCCAAATTAGTAAAATTCAACGTGCACGCACGCAATCCCCTGTACCACCAAGTCTCCAAGCAACCTTAGGGCTCATACTTTTTAAGTAGTGCTTATGGCTTATAAGTGCTGCTTCCTGAGTCTGGATGCATAGGTGAGTTGACATACCATCTGCTGCCCTATTCTCATTGATGAGCCCCTCCTAGCGCATCACTAACGCCCAAAAGATCTCTAGGCTTCAGTTTTCCAAAGGAAGATCGTTCAGAATATGTAAATCTTCCAAGTTCCTAGTTATGTTCTAACCACAGAGTGGTTAGAGTCATGCGTTTGCCACCTCTGGATCCAGATATCAACAATGATTTGAATTTTTTTTTTTTAGGAAAGTTATAGCCCACGATTATTTCTCTGGAAAGGAAGGCTTAACTATCTACTTCTGAAAATCAGCTAGTTAAAAACCCTGTGGGTCACGATGGGCATATCTGTAACCGATCATAAGGATGATTTGTTCAATTGATCAAAGGTTCACCGTGAGTTGGGGGTCCTATTCAACGGCAACGGATAACAGCTTGACTATTTCTACCCCCTAACCCACAACGTGCTGGCTTTAGCAAGGCCAATCCAACTGAGTAGTCAAAGGGGGCTGCCTTAGCTGTCTTAAAAATGCATTTTTTTTACCACGCTTGGCTCTAGCACCCTTGTCTTCAGTGATCTCTTCATGAAGGTGAGCGTCAAGTAGGGCCATGTCATAAGAACTAATTGTTCTTCGATTGGGGCTCCGATTAAGTGGAGAACAAAAGGGTACCCGATTGAGAACCACTGCTCTCCACTGACCCCCACTGTCAGATAAGTGCGCACACATCACGGACACGAGTTTGGAAGCTCCCGTTGGGATGACAAATTGACTCCTGTCTGCAATGACTCTTGAGCAGGTACCGGGACTTTTGCTACTATTCTGAAGCATCAACAGGAAGCCAGGCAATATGACAAAATGATGGGCAGACACTGGCCTTTTTTCTGTGCTTTTTCAGCCCAAGTGTCCGTCTTAGCCCCCCTGAGAACTGGAAATATTTTAGCCAAATGGGGGGGCGGGAGCAGTCACTGCGGTGGCATTTTCCTACTAAATGCATAGAGGCACCTAAAAAGAGACTAGCCTTGGGCAAGTGGTATTTGGAGCCTGAGTGAAGGGCAAGGGGGCCCAGGGAAAGCAGTAAGTGGTGGGAGGGAACACACACTCTGTTGGTCTAATAAGATCTGAGATAATTGCATTGATGGCACTATTTTTCTGCAGCCAAGGAGGTCTAAGGAGAGAAACGCAATTAAAGTTAACTGGCTCAATGTGTCCTTCTGGTTCACTTTTGCAAAGACTGTTTCTCCATGATCCGGTATCTATAGTGGACAGGAGGACCATTTCTCCAAACGAGGACCATTCTGTTCCAAGCTCCCTGCCCACACTGAAGACCACGGAGCAAGTTACTCGGCCAGGGGGCGTTAATCTGAAGCGCTCAGCCTGAGCTGAGATGTGAATTCTGCTTTCAATTCTTTACTCACAAGCTGCGTGACATGCGACAAGTCCACTGGTAAAGTGGTTTTTAGTTTGTTTCAATCTGTAAAACGGGTACAGCAAAGGTTACTATTAACAAGCATACCCTCTCTATGAGAACAAACTGAAATAACAAATAGAAAGGGAACCCGTCAGAAGCCAAATTGCTCTGCACGATATTGTCATTATGGTTACTTGTGAAAAGTGTTGTTCGTGGCAGCGTGAATGCAAAAGTCACAGAAGTTACAGGGCTTTAGAGACCTTCGATGGTCTATCAAGAGTACCACCAGCTTTTTTTTTTTTTTTTGAGATTGATGCTAAGGAGTTCGAGATAAGAGGTAAAATGTGCCCTGCATCTCCTTTTGCATGTATCTACCTAACGATTACCCATCACCCTCTATCGAGGACTGAGTGAGACTTCAGGAGTGAGTCTACCTGGGTTTAAATCCTGACTCGGTCACCTACCAGCTCTGTGACCTGAGCCAAGTCACTGGGTCCCTCTGTGCCTCCGTTTTCTCATCCGTAAAATGGGAGTGCGCGCTGCCTGCCTCCTAACGCTCAAAAGCGTTAAAGGGAGCTAGTGGACATGTCCTATAGTGGGTGAGAGGGTGGGCTTGGGGCCAGGGTGTTGAGAGCTGCACTGCTACTGCTGTACTTCTCAATTGAGGAACTTACTTGCCTCGCGTTCTCCTCCCAAAGCTTGGCACAGTAGTAGTGTCTACCTCACAGGCCTGTTTCAAGTATTGCTTAGCCAACTGGGCAGCACATAGCAAGGCCTCGGGAAGTGGTTCATACAACACGACAGGCATGAATGTAGGTTTGCGGCTGTTCTTATTCCTCTTTTATCGGGTATGCTGTGTGCTGTCTAGACCACTGGCTGCAATTTAAGGCCACCTGGTATCCAGCTCTAGCTGTGGACCTAAGGAGTCAGGAAACAGTGTCCCACTCAGGTGGGGGGGGGTTCAGGCTCAGTTGCCAGCAGCAGAAAGATGGGGCCAGGCCTCCCGAGTGAACTACTGCACGAAAGAGAGCCAGAAACACATGTCAGGGAAGGGCACAGGAGGCCCTCCATCGAAAAGGGCACCCGGCTCAAGTCTCCATTCAAAAGAAGCTGTCCTCTTGGCCAGCCGTGAAACAGGAACAAATATCGGTTGCCCTGGAGCTGATTCCAACGTGGGGAGGCCACATGTGTGCCAGAGGAGAGCGCTGAGCCATACCAACTTTTCCATGGCTGACCTTTCCGAAGCAGACCCTTGGGGTGGGCTGGAACCATCCACCTTTCTGTTAGTGAACCAGCATGTGAACCACTTGCATCCCCCAGGGACTTCGCAGTCAGCCAAGACCCTCGCCTTGCCTTTCCTGCCTGGAGAGCAGCATGTCCCAGAGGAAGTGAGGTACACCGGGGAGCACTTACTGGCATCAGGACTGCCGAAGAGCCGGGCATTGTGGGGTTGGGCAGGGTCCCGGGCATGGAGGCTGGCATGGGCTGTCTCTGTCTGTTGTGGAGGTGTAGCAGAGAAGATAGAGAGCCTGGAACAGGCCTGGAAACAGAAAAGAAGTCACATTAGCCCCGGTGCCCTGGGCAGGAGACGCAGTGCCTGGTGTTCCGGTTTCCAGAACCAGCAGAGACCACACCATCACGTGGCCGACAGTTCAGACCCACTGGAGCGAGAGCCACCTAATTGAGGATATTAGGGAAATAATAACAAATAAAACACCAGCCTGGTTTCCTTTGCTGCTTCCTAGTTAATACATCAAATTCCATTCCACTTCCTGGCCTCTGTTATCTCACTGGTGTTCAGTAGACAGCGAGTCGGTCAGTCGGTCTCCTACAAACCCCACACTACGGGAAAGGGACTTTGGGGGAAAACCCAGCATTTTCTCAGAGGCCTCTGACCCCCGGCTTGTCTCCAAGGTGGGGCCTGCACACATTTGATGGGTGTCCTCGCCACCCTCTGACATACTTCCGTCGCGAGACCGGCTTTGCCACGCTTTGCTCGGGAACGTTTTCATTCTCTGGAACGAGCAGAGCAAACTTCATTCATGAAATCCCAACCAAATCCATTTCGACCTCTTCATGGTTCTCTATCATAAGGTGGTGGGGGTGGGGTGGGGGAAACCAAACCAAACAGGCCACTAATAAACGGGATTGTGGTTCATGGCACTGTGCTTGTCCCTGGGGCCTTTCTCTGTGAGAGGCCGGGGCGCGGCCCCCAATTGCCAATCACTCATTTTATAATAACTCGAGGTGTTAGGCTGTTTGACAGAAACTGATTTGGGCCTGACCTGTCGGACTTGGGTAAGCATCCTGGGGGAGTGCATAGTTTGAGCATTTACTTCTATTTGCCAGATTTTTTTTCTTTTCCCCTTTTTTTTTTCTCTCTTAAGGGCCTTAAGTTGACTTAATAAGCCAGGGAATGTGGGGCTGAGGGGAAAGGGAATTATTTGTGTTTATTAAAAATGGCAAACAAATGACCTCCCTGGCTACATTCTCCATCTCCTGATGTTTTCGCTCAGGGGAGCTGTGAAAGTATCAAACTGTTAAATTAAAGATGTTAGCAACAAACAAATAAAGCAAAAGCAAACAAATAAAAAACTTCTCAGGACCGTGCAGTCAGGTTAAACAACCTTATCCTGAGTAGCACACTGTAAATCAGGGCTTCAAGGACAAATGCCTTTTCTCCAAACCAATCAACCAACCAAACAAACAAAACACCCCAACCTCTCTCAGACAGGGTAACAGTTGCAGACAGAGATGGTTTACAGAGACAGAGACCTTTAGGTGCTTCATGGAAAGCCTTCTCTCATGCCACCCTTCCCCACCTCAGCCTGTGCCAGAGCACCATTGCAAAACCATGAGGAGCCTCTTGTTCAAAATCTATTGGCCACCCATGGGTGACTCATGGAGAGACGCTGAGAAGTGGGAGCCTGAGATGTGGAAAGAATGCTAGCAAGTTCTTCCTTCAAATTCCTGCAATAATTCCAAAGAAGATTAAGTTTTCCACTCTTTTTTTGGCAGAATGTCTTTGGAAATATAGCTAGTGATTAAAGTCAGACACATCGCCCAAGGAATAGTCATAAATCAGTCAGTATGAATACTCTTACAAGTGAGTATCTGAAAATATCACCTACAGGGCTCTGAAGCCTCTGCACATGGATTATGTCTATGTACACAAATTAGACCCAGTTTTACTGCTAGTAGAGTGTATATCTGAGTCGATAGATAGATCTCACTCAACTCACTGCCATCGAGTCAATTCTTAGACCGCACAGGACAGGGCAGAACTGCCCTTGTGGGTCCCCAAGACAGTAAAATAAGAAGTCTGGTCTTTTTCCCACCACTATTGCCACCATAGTTTGTTGATCATAGTTTTTGGAATGTGTCTTTTCAATGAACCCAATGAAATGCTACAAGTATTTCTTTACATGTGCTATGAGGAACTCAGGAGTATAGATTAACAATTAGCAATAGTAGAGGCTTTGGAAAGAATCACATAGTGGTTATATGGTGGGATGCTAACTGCAAGGCTGGCACTTCGTTTTGAAACCACCAGCAGCTCCAAGGGAGAAAGATGAGGCTCTCTCCTCCTGGGAAGAGTTACAGTCTCAGAAACCCACAAGGGCAGCTCTCCCCCAGCCTATAGAGACTCCATGAATTGACATTGAATTAGGGCAGTGATTTTGAAAGGGCCTTTAAAAGCCCTTTAGGTTTTACGGTTCTAGAAAATTGCTGGTTTCAATTGCTCTGAAATTGTGACCTTAAACCCAACCCAACCCACTGCCATCTAATCAATTCTGACTCATAGTGGCCTATAGGAAAGAGTAGAACTACCCTTTTTGATTTCTAAGACTATAAATCTTGATAGGAGCAGCCAACCTCATCTTTTTCCCTTGGTGTGTCTGGTGGGTTTGAACTACTGACCTCACAGTGAGCAGCTCAACACATAACCCAGTATGCTTCTAGGGCTCTTTTACTTAAAGGCCATATCAATCAGAGTGGGGGAAAGGCGATAGTCCAAATCAGATAGGTAGAGCATGCTACATATCAAAATACATGATGTTTAATAATGGACAATTCTTCGAAGTCCAAGATTTCTGGCTTCATTAAGAGAAAAAAAGTTTTCACAATCTGTAACTAGAACACTCCTACATACAGTTAATCATCCATCAATCCATTTTTATAATATACAAGTAGACAGAGATAAATAGATGCAATACAAGCATTTTACATGCATGTCATCTTAAGGGAGAGTTCTTCAAGGATAGATGGTTAGGGACAAGCAAGGATTTTATAGGAAGGACAGCTTCAAACATTTCTTTGTGATGTCAATGGGCAATATTAACTTCATGACCAAAGGGCAGCATACTCTTGTCATTTAAGATTTGGCTCCAACGTTACACACTAGAATATCTTGCTTATCAGTTTTTATCAGTGGTGTTAGTTTTAATAAAAACAAAAACTAACTTAACAACTTGATGGAGCTATTGAGATGCAAAAGAAATTAAATTAAAAATAAGTTCCATTCCTCCCAGAAGTGTATGGAAAATGCTCAGTTGTAAAGACTAGCTGGAGACGCGTATGTTTTATTTAATTCAATGTTCTTATTAGGTCAGTGATTTCCACAATATGCACAGATCAGTAGGTTTCAAAATAGCAAGTATTTCCTCATTAATTAAGAAAGCCTCCTAGGATTCTGGGCCCCCTTGGATTATCATAATAATTACCGATCGGACCAATTAGCAATGCATAGTTGGAGAGGGAACTGATTAGTTGAGATCCTTGTATGTTCAGATTCTGAACAATTCTGAGTTTATTTTTTTGTGCAAACTTTGCAATTTACCTCCCCAACCTCTGTCTTTCAATAATGGTGTGATTTCTAGGTTTCTTGCTGGAGCTTTTAAAACTACCAAAATTAGTCAGAAATTATAAAACCCAGGCCTGCCCATCACCAGGTCCACAAAGGATTGAGGTCATTATCTGTGTCGCTTGGCTCAGGATCCAGTAATTTGTCCAGAATATTCAGATAGATCACTGAAGCAAGAGTGGTATCAGAATAATTGCATTGACTGTCTAATTCCTTTTGTGAGCACTGTAAGAAACCAAACCGAACTCACTGCCATTGCGTAGATTCTGACTCAACAGTGCCAACCCCGTAGGACAGAGTAGAACTGCCCCTGTTGGTGTCTGAGACTGTAACTCTTGAAGGAACTAGAAAGCCTCATCTTGCTCCCACAGAGCAGCTGGTGGTTTTGAACCGCTGACCTTACAGTTAGCAGCCCAAGCGTATACTGCTTAATAGCCAGGTCGGTCACGATGAGTCAGCATTGACTTGATGGCAGTAAGAGGAAGTTTTACATAGCACCTGCACAGTGAATGGTTCCTGGCAAAGTATTTTCACATCCCTGATTTCATGTCAGTTGCCCTAGTGACGCAGTGATTAAGCACTTGGTCACCAGCCACACTGCACCCACCAGGGACACTGCAGGCAAGAGAGGTGGCTGTCAACTTCCATCAAGAATTACAGCCATGGAAACCTTTTGGGAGGCTTCCATGTGTTGGAATCAACTCAATGGCAAGGGATTTGGTTTGGGTTTAAACTCAAGTCATTTGAACTAAGCCAATGTGGTCGATAAAGTCATATTACTTCCATTTTGTCCAGGAGATAACACGACGTTTATTTCAGCTAAAATCAGCAACATTTCAATGTGTCAAAGGACACATGGGTCATGAAAAAAGGCAGGACTTAACACTCACTACACTAGATAGGGCGCTTCCCATCACACCTTGGTGGCTCCCATAACTAAGTTATCATTGATTTTTTTCATGCTAAAATAAATTCATGGGCCATTGCCGTTGAGATTCACACTGCTCACTGGACTTCCCATGAAGCCATAAAGCCTGCAGCACTGCTACCATGAGAAATCACTCAACCATGTGAAATGATGTTTTCTTCCTTAAAAAAAAAGAAAGAAAGAAAACCTTCCCACCTAAGACATCAGTCAGATTCTGAATACGAGGCTACAGATTGCAGTAAAGTTGTGAAAACAAAGACCCAAGTCTTTCTCCAGTGCAGGCTTGTTGCCCTGAGCTAATAATTCCAGACTTTGAGCAAGCCGAGCCTCCTTTTTAATAACCATGTGCCTCTAGGTAAAGTATTTCTACTAAAACTTATTGAGGCATGGAACAAGGTAAGATGTGTGAGCTCGTGTTGGATTGTTCAATTACTAAACGGGGTCCTGTAGCATTAAGAGCTCTGCAAGCGGACAGATCATTCCTCTTTACACACTTGTGTAAACATACTGCTTACGGCTGAAACCTATGTAAGCTTTTCTCTCAATTAAAATGTCAAGTGTGACAGACTATGTTTTCACTGTCCATAACAGAATGATAGGTACCCTAGCAAGCGATTTCATGTCTTCACTCCCCCAGCCCCCAAGAGATATTTTCCAGTCTAGGGGGCTCTGAGGAGCATCTCTGCAGACTGCTCCTCCTTCCCAGGAGGACGTCAAGGGCACTGTGGGGCTGTCCAGTAGACGATAA